GGGTAGATTTCTGTCTTTTTCTGGGTTAAGTATTTCTGATATGATCAGTGTGATGGGGCTGTAGCTGATACTATTTGTTGTGTGCCCATGGTGAGGATCTGTAGTGCAGGGGGTGAGCAGGGGTTTATGTTGGTTGAATGGGTCAAGAGCAGGCACTTTCTTGGTGAAGTGCAGGGAAATGAGGTAAAACCTAGAGAAGAGATGGCAGTGTAAAAGGCAGGCAAAGGAGGGACTGCCTAAAGAAATACACTTTTTACTTCTTGCTGAAGTTACTCAGCAAATAACACAGCCTGGGAGATGTCTTGGGATCATATATTTCAGGTATTTGGGAACGTATTCAAGTCTAAAGTTGAAGCTTTGGTGTTGGTGAATGCTACACATGTTTGTTTTAAGTTCTAGCATTAAAATTATAGCTAGGGAGGATTTTTGGGCTGCTTACAATACTCAAATTAGATGCTTATTTAAATCCAGAGCTGGTCTGTAACTTCAGCTGGAGGGTGGAAACCCTTCCATTTCCTTGCCTTTACTGGGTTTGAACCAAAAACATGTGGAAAAAATTTAAATAAGCTACCAGTGGCTCTTTGAAACATTATGTGTATGTTTAGTAAACACAGATGGAGATTATAGAGACAGCAAGGATGAATACATATTTTGGCATGTACCTCTCCTTTAACTTACAGTGGTGTGCTCTCATGGTGCTGGGCTGCCTTTCACTGCATGGCCTTCAAGCTTGGTTTAAAGAAAAAGGGAAGAATGTTTTGCAACACAGCCTCTGGATTGCAGCTTAGAGCAGCTTCCTGTCAACAACACCCTTCTTCTCTCCCACCCCAAAATATGAAAGTGCAAAATAAAGTCATCTCATGGCTTTTGAATTTATAGACTGTTGATCACTTTATGAAGGGTAAATGGGAAAAGCTGTGTAAGAGCTGTGAACWGGCACTGGGGTTTTCCATTGAAGGTGTCTTAGTTGTTTTTACTAACTTATGGAGGGGGACTCAAGCTTGTAAGCTAATGAGGAATTTCTCTATGTGTATTAAAGACAGCATTAAAATGGGGGGGGGGATGATAAACTGAGAGCAGGTTTTCATATCTTTTCCTTGCCAAAAGACCTGAGTGACTGAAACAATGATTTAGGGATTACTATTGCCTAAAACAAAGACTAAAGCAGAATTCTGTGTGGTAGTGTCATTGCTTCTATGCACGTCAAGTAGAAACTCCTGTGAATGTCAGGAGATCGTTTGAAATGCATTTTAAGATAACTAGTGTGCATACTGGAAGGGATTTTAGTGGGTTGCCTAGCTATAAGTGATGTAGGTAGTGTGGGGATGGTTTCTTTTTGTTCTGTTTTTTTTATTTTCCCTCTGCAAAAGTCCTTGGCAGCAGGCTTTCCTGTCTCTGGACATGATTGCCTCAGCAGTCTTAGAAAGAGAAAACCTAGAAAACCTGTTGCATAATATTCTGGGTAAAGTGAATGGTTGATGAGACTGCTGGGCTCAACTTCTCATTTCCCTTCTAGGAGATGGGTGGAAAGAGCTTTGATTTTGYTGGTGATTAAGGGAGTGGTGTAACAGGAGAGCCAGGTTCAAGTTACTATCTCCTTAGAAGAAATTTAGCTGCTTCTAATTATTTCCTGCAGGCAGTGGCCAGCTGCATGGAGCCAGCTGAGTGAGTCGTGGCTCCTTGGCTTTGTCAGAGAAATGCAAGTGCTCCTAGAAAAGCAGATCTGACACCCTGGGCTGTCTCAGGCCACCCTGGAGAGCTGTGCATGTGCTCTGTGCCGGCTCCCAGCTCAGACTCCTGCTGGAGCTTCTGGTGTTGCTGTAGCTTAGCAGGGTGACTGCTCTGAGGTGCTGGGGCTTGCACAGACAGCTTTCAAAAAAGAGACAGCAGCCCKCAGGCCTGGCTATTCCAACACTCTGGGATGTTCTTGCTCCTCTAATTCGTCTGGGCTTGGCGTTGGTTTGAAACCAGGAGRTTATGGTGGTTTGTCTGCTGGAATTGTGAGGCTTTTAAGCAGCTCTGCCATAAACTCCTTGACCTCTATGAAGTTATTTGTGCTRGTGTAGAGTCTTGGGCTTGCTGGGTGTGCAGGCACCTTGCCAGCATGGCATTCAGGAGTAAAGGGATGGCCTCATGCAATGTTTCGGGATATGCTCTGCCATGCCTTAATTCTTTAAACACTGCCTGAACTGCAGCAGAAAGGTCCATTTCTCCTCAAAYTGATAAATACTGTGCTGCATCTAATTTTTGTAAATCAGCCTTGATTGAATGAGGTCTGCAAGCTGTGGTTGTCGTGTTTCCTGTGGCACATGGTCCCAGTGCAATTTGGGAAGRCTCAAAAGCAGCAGCTGTTTCAGGCACGTAAGTCTTGTCCAGTGCCTGGAGGTAAACCACAKCACTAATTGCCTTGCAAACTTCTCCTGTAGTGGCAGTGACAGCAGATTTGGCAGCACAGTTCCATGGGAGGGAATAAAATACTTGTAAGAGTAATTGTTTCATGGGGTATCTCTGGCATCTGCTCGTTCTGAATTTGACATGTGGCTGGTGCTGGATCATGGCAACTTAATCTTGTTTCCCTTTTTGAGGGAGAAACCATGTTCCACATCTCTGTACCTAGTCTTGCACTCYGGCTTTGTGTGTAGTTGTTGGGTTTTTTTTCTATTTGAACAAACAAACTAAAAAAGGGTGGAGGGAATCACAGAAATGCCCTGCAGATTACYGAACATGCTGTAGTTCTTGGCCCTTGGACAGATAATGAGGAAAATAAGAAGAATCCCTCTGAGATCATTATGGCTTTCTTTTTYTGAACTCTCTTAGTGAAAAATATTGCCCTTGCTAGCTATAAACTTGCTGCTTTAGGTGTTCTACTGATACAGATTCATGAGAGTGAAATAAATCGATTACAAATTCTCCCTTTTAAATAAAAGCTGCCATACTTTACTGTTTCGTAGACGTAAAGGTTCAGACAGTAACTTTGAATTCTGCAGGATGGAGAAATGAAAGCTGAAGCTGGCAAGGGATGGGGAGTAACTTCAGAGTKCATGCTTGATCTTCCATGGTTCAGTTGCCTAATGCTTTTTTATAAATAATACWTTCCTTAATGAAACATAGGACTTAAATTCCCTTCCTTGTGATCATCCCATGAAAGTCAGATTCTGTGAATGATTTTATTTATACATCTGTATATTCATGTAAGTTTCTTATCCATCTTTCAAGATTTGTTAAAAGCCACAGAAGAATTGAGACCTTATTTGACAGTTCATGTAAATTCATTCCTCYAAGCCTGTTCTTAAGCTCCTGGATAGCATGCTTTGAGTCATGGATACAGGCAAAAGAAAAGATGAGAACAGTTTTGAAGGCTCARTTTTTTCCTCTTTAAATCCTAAAGGAAGCAGGGTAAAGGGGTGACTCATAGTTAAAGATCATCTTGCTCCGTAGTGAGTATTCTGCTGCTTGTAGATAGGCACTTCAGCTGGGAGTCCCGAAGTTTGTGTGCTGCATTTAGGATCCCATGCCTGTTGGTTACTGGAATTTTTTTGGTGTTAGAGGCTTTGTTTGGGGTTTTTTTTGTTTTTTTTTTTTTTGTTTTGATTTGTGTGGGTGGGATTGAAGCAGGGAGATTATTTAGCCTGGGTGCAGAGCGAGTGAGACTGCTGTGTGGGTGTATCCTGAGAGGACAGGTTACCTACGTCTGCTTAAAATGCAAAGGAGCTGTTCAGGGTGTCTGCCCTGGGGGTCAGCAGTTTTTCAGTGTGGTACCAGATCGAAATRAGCAGATCAACAGTAACCTGTACCCACAGCTCCTGCAGCCAAGTGCGTGGTGGCTGTGGTGTTATATGTAGCACACACAGCTGGGTGACTGTGCTGCAGCCACTGATGTGCTTATACAGGATGGCAGCTGCAGCTCGGTCAGTGAGCTCTGCTGGGGAGCCCTGTCCATGCTGCTGAACCAGGAACCTGCTATGGACAGGTCCAAATGGTGGGGATCAGCTGGGTGCAGTCAGGACAATGTCCTGCAGCCAGCCCTCATGGGGCAACTCTGCACCCAAACTGGGCAAGGACAAACAGCCACATAAATAATTAGCKAGGAACAGAGTGAGCTGTGTTCTGTGTCAGGAGAAGGTTAGTGGGCTAGTGCTGTGATTTCAGTTCTTCCTCTTTTTTTTTTTTTTCCCCTTTTTTGTTGTTTTGTTTTCCCAACAATGACATCTGTTAACTTGACTTTGGTAAGTTTAGAAGAGCAGAGTGGTGTCTTGTTGGTGTCTTTGAGTTTGTGTGCTAGGAAAGGTGCCTCAGAACACAATGAATTTTGACATGAATAAGGAGATGCAACCTGGTTTTGGTGCTATCTTCTTAATGCAAGAACAAAGCCCCTTTTTTTTTTCCTTTCTAGGAGCCAATACATAGATCCAAAACATCCCTAATTGTTTTACAGACCTGAATAATGAGTGCTTAAAGTCATTAAAACCAGGAGAGAAATCCTGGGGACAAGGGTGTTCCAACAAACTTTATTCAGCTGGCAAACTAAGTGCCACTTGTGCTGTGTGGAGCTGTTGCTAGAAATCGTTTTGAAACTGCTAGGGAAATCCTGGTGCTTCCTAGAAGTTGCTGCCTGTGGGAATGCATGAGGAAATCCTGTAAACTTGCAAATTTCAAAGACTTCTGAACCCTACCAGAGAGATTTTGAGAGACCTTAGAAGCTCCATGAAACTGAAAGTTTCAGGGATTCCTGAGAAGTTCTAGGAGTTACCAGTAATGTCTAGAAAACTTTAGAAATGCTGTGGGAATCTAGTGAACTCAGTGACTCTGCTAGTAACCCKTACAGTTTACAAGGAATAGGAAAACCATTACTGATTATCTTTGGATGAAGTGTCAAATGGTTGTACAWGGATAAACACACTCAACTTCCTTAAGCTGTCAAGTATCCAATTTCAGCATCTTCTTCAATGAGTGTCCTGTGTGTGCTTGTCTAAGACACAAACTTGTTTTCCTCTCTGCAGTCCTACTTTGTTACGGATTATGACCCAACAATTGAGGACTCCTACACCAAGCAATGTGTGATAGACGAGAGAGCCGCTCGCTTGGACAGTAAGTAGCTCACCCACGGTGCCCACAAAACTAGGATTAGGAATTTATATTATTCCCAGCATTTACCTGGGTGATGTGGTGGAATGAAAATCACATCTCTGTGCTGCCTATCCCAAGTGCAATATAAATGCTTTGCTTTAAAAATCRTATGTTGGTGATTTCTTTATGGATAAACCAACAGCCCTCATGCCCATGTACATCTGAGCATTTTCCATCTGTTGCAGCTAGTCATGAATTAGTAGAAGTGTTTTGTTGTTCAGTTTGTTTGGTAGGCCTTGAGCTGTTCATTCAGTGCAAGAACTTGCTGGGAATATTRGAAAAATATCCAGTAGTATCTGTGAAAAATGGTTTCTGCTTAGCTGTGGTGCACAGGAGAGTCTCTCACAATGTCTTAGGATTTCTTTTGTTTTCTTAGTCTATCAAAGCATTAAATGTAGTAATCCATATTTTTGCTTATGTTCAGTTCTGGATACAGCAGGRCAAGAAGAATTTGGAGCCATGCGTGAACAGTACATGCGGACAGGGGAGGGTTTTCTGCTCGTTTTCTCAGTCACAGATAGAGGAAGGTAAGCCTGTTGTTAAGTTATTTAAACAAACCAGTTTTAATTATTCTTAAATTGCACCTTATCCTTAACTGAAATAATCTCAAACAGAAACATCAAGTATGAGTTCACTCACAGGTTCAAGGTGTGCTACTCCTTCAGCACTGATGAAGACCAGTTCTGAACCAATTGCTTCTTGAAAGTATCTATTTGTTTCAATAGATGACTTGAAAGCATACACAGAAAAATGACAGCTCTATTCAGGAACTTTATTGTAGTCCAGAATACCATTTTCCTGGAAGTGACTGGTATGCAGTCAGTTGTTAGGAACATTCCCTTGCCATGTGCAGCATCAAAGTCTGGGTTTCTCAGTGGGTTTTAGGGTATGTGCTCTTTTGCAGGCAGTGGTCCCTGTGCTTGCCATGCAGTGACTGGATGGCTGCAGACTGGACATGAAACATTTCCTTAGAAATTCATGGAAAGCTATGCTTAGTGGCATACCTTCTTTCTAATTTACCTCTGGAGGAGGTGTCTGGCTACCTATTTTTTTTTTAATGGGACTTTTTTAGTGATGATCACCTTGCTTTTAAGTTTTAGCTGGCAAATTAAGTGTGAATGCCTTCAGACTATATGTCTGGAATTAAATGCAGTGTCTGGAAAGGCTACAAAGGGTATGTGATTGTCTGCAAACATCAGTGCTGAAGGTCCTTATGTAGTCATGTAGCTTTAACAGTGTTTACTTGAAAGCAGTGATTTATTTATTCTCCAAAAATCCTTGCTTAGGTCAGAATTAGCTTGTTTAGCATACTGTCCTGAAAGAAGTTGTTTTCTCTGCTCACCTTCCCTTAAACACTGCTGGAATATTCCTTACTGCTTGAACAGCATTAGTACCTGATATAACTTAGCAGGTAACTGAAAAGCTTTGTGATTGGTTAGGCCTGCTATTTTTCTGTYCTTGAAGAAACAAAACTTTTCAGCTTTGATAGCTTCCCCCAAAATTCTTAGAGGTAGCTATGAAGGTTGCCAGCTGGAATGCTGATTACCAGGGTCTCTGTGCTGTAGAGTGAGCATTCTAGCTAGAGCAGAACTCTAAAATCAGTGTTTGTAGAATGGACTGTGGTTGCTTGATTCTCTGCAATACATTGGCCCCGGGTCCCTATGGACYGAGACACAGTAAGTGTTTTGCTCACCCTGCAGCCCCACCTCAGCCCAGTGCAGAGGACACTGCTCATTTGGGGATTTTTTTAGTTTGAGTGTTGAATGGTTCTCTRACTGGTCATGCAATGACTGTGGAGTGCCTGCAGCTGTCTGTGCTGGTGTGTCATGKCAGGGCAAGTCCAAATAGGTGTCTCATCATTGCTAAACTTTTGCAGAACCTGGAATTCTATGAATTAGTGCACTGATGCTCTGCTTGATCTTTTACAGCTTTGAAGAAATCTATAAATTTCAGCGACAAATTCTTAGAGTGAAAGATCGCGATGAGTTTCCAATGATTCTCGTTGGCAATAAAGCAGATCTGGACCACCAAAGACAGGTAATTCATTTGCTCTTAGTTACTTACTGCTCACTTTCTTCCAGAAAATTCAGTTTTCCTCCCAAAACTAAACTTCCTCCCAGAATGGGAACAAACAAATGAAAAGTCATATCACACAAACCAATTCCAATGCAAGAAACTACATTCAGTTTTTGTACTTGATGAACCTTAAGAGCATGATGGCATTCCACATAGAGCACATCTTCAGTCTGACTCAGTGGGGTTATGCTGAGACCAAATCTATTCACAGAGCTGAGAGCTTTCTGTCATGACTTGATTACTCAGGCATGAACATGTCTAATTCCTCAGTTCTGTTACTCACTGCTGCACTGTGCCAGCAGAGTGCATTCCAGCACTGACTCCAACGATCCTTACTCTTCAGTGCTCTTGCTTTTACCTTTCACTGCTGTTATGTGTAAGTTAGTAGCTGTTCACTCTTTTCTCTTTGGCCACTCATCTTTTGCATAACTGACTTAAAACTTTAAAAGTTGTGAGTACAGCACGCAATTTCTGTTCCATTTATGTACCTCAAAGTTTTGAAACCAATAGTTTTCAACCTCACCTCTGGTCACAAGACAACTTAAAAGATTTAGTTTAGAATGATTTAAAGAAGGATCTTTAAATGTGTTTTCCCTCTTTGCTATCGATTTATTAATAAATCAAACTAATTTGAGCTGAAATRAAAATGATCTTACTATAGCAGCAGGAAAGGAATAGATGTCAAACCTGTCTTCAGTACTAATTTGAGAGGCTTAATACTTGAGACAGTAAGATGACATTTAAAGCTTGGTAGCAAACACATGATTTTGTGAGAATAAAGTAAACATGACTACATTCTTCAGTTAACCATCATGCCCCCATTCAAATTCCCAGATTTAACCTTGCAGGTCCTGAAACCTACTTTATTTCCTGCAAAAATGCTGGCTTGGAAACTATGGAAGTGAAACTGAACTATTCTGGTAATTGTAATTGTTGAAGGACAAACACCCAGATGCTTTGGGAGGGAAATAATTTCATTGTTGTCAGCTCCAGCTTTCAGGATACCTGCAAATGTAATTGGTAATCCTGTGCATCTATTTCTAGAAACAGCTGTGGACTTTGCTCTCTGTCCTCCACCCTCCTGTTGTTATTACACCACTTCTGTTTCTCCCTTAAAGGCAGAGAGATGCCTGTCACCTGTTCTGCTGGTCCCTCTGTACCTGTTCTAAGCTGCTTTTGCAGATGATGATGGGCTGGAACACTTTCYAGCTGAAAGCAGCTTTTTTCTAATTCCTTAACTTGGCAATTTTGCTTCTTATATCAGAAGCCTATGTCTCCAAAACCTCCTTTTGCTTTTTATGGTTATATTAATTGCCTCAATTGATTATATGTTGATGGGCATAACTTTTGAAGCTCCCACTTATTCCACCATTTACATGCCAATTGGTGGACTTATCACTCCCCCAGAAGCTGGGTTTTGGGCAGATGTAGTTGAGAAAACATTTCTGTATTTGCTTAAACAGCTACTTAAATGTTCTTAACTCTTCTCTGCCCCCTTCCCTGTCCCATGGTGTGTTTCACTYGGCCTTAAGTCATTGTGAAGGAATGATTTAGGGATGCTGAGCAGACAAAATTGGTCCCCACAAGGGAGAGGCTCCCCTCCCTCTTGACTTCACATTCCCACTCTTTCCTTTGCTGGCCCCAGATCTCACTTGAAACGCTTTAGGAGTTGAATCATCTCTCTGGATGTGGAGGAGCAGGAATGGCATCCTGGGACCTATGTGAGCTAAATCAGCTTGCAGAAAGATTTGAGTGCCAGAGCTGGAAGCATGGGAAGGGGTGGGACTGTGGCTTGGAGCAGAGCAGGGAGGAGTTGGGGTGGGGGGAAGCAAGGGAGACCTCACCTTTTGGCAGCAGCGAGCAGTGAGATGTTATCAGCTGGGCTTAAACTGGTGGGGTTGTTTCTGTGCTCCTCTTCTGAGCTCTCAATACAGGCATCCAGGCACTGAGTGGGACCAGTTCCCTGATCTGGCTGAAAACCAGACAACTAGTCCTGGCACYAGCTAGACCAACTAGTCCAAAAGTGAGGAAAAACTTGAGCCTGACTAGCACGGTCATCCTGCTCTGGCTACAGGTTTCTTGTACAGGCAGCTGCAGTGGGAGATGTGAGGTCAAAGGTGACAGTGCTCCCCCACCTTGGCTAGGAGTGCTGGCAGAGTGGGAGGTGTGAGGTATCCCCTGGATGTAACCTGTGYGCAGGAACATGAGAAGGGCAAGTCCTCTGCATTTTTATACTTTGTCTRCTGATGTGCCAGGCCTCACTTAGACACCACCGAAAACCTGCTAAGCCATGCTAGTGTCACACATATCTTTTACATACCTGTCTCTTTCTCTTTTAATTTGTTAAATCCCAACTGTACATTTTCCAGCTTCAGAATTTCAATAGCATTCTTAGAAATTCAGGGAGCTGGGTATCAGTTTTTAGAGCAAAACTGTACTGGGCATCTGCTGCTTTGTCCAAAAGGCAGGAGGCCAACTAGTGAAACACATGCAACCTCTGAAGGACTAAAACTAAGTTAAAGAGAGTAATTTAGTGTGCGCTTGGATCAGCAAATGATACTCACAAATCTTTCCAGAACCCAAAAGAGTTAAACGTGTGGAAAAGTTCTGGATGTCTCAAGGGTCTGACCACACCTTTATCCCAGTGTGTTGAGGTTGAACAGAGTACACAGTACTATCGTTGTGACACCATAAATCTGGAGGCTAATGATGCATAGSTAATCATCCTCATGTGGTGGCAACTGTTTCTCAGGAAATACATGAGCTGGGTTTTACAGCAGAAGTGCACAAACAATTGTACGCTCTTGATGAATTGCTGGGGCTCACCCAAGGTGTAATGTAAAGTAGTGGTGGCTCTTATATTCCATAGACCAACTCACAAATGGTTTTTGTTTTTTGTGAGGGATGTGAAAGACTAAGTATGAAATAGCAATTTGCCATGGTAATAACTGTGTAAGTAAATAGAATTAAGCAGCTTTCTTGTGGTGTTTGTCTCTCAATATCCACAGCTTAGGTTGACAAAGAAAAATGAGTCTTTAGAGGACATTAATCTTTAGAATGTATGATAAGGAATGAAGCTGCCAGTGTTTCCAAATTCCCCAATCAGTCACAAATTGCTGACTTCGAAACCAGAATTTAAGCACCATCTCTCACTGCTCTTTCCTTAAAGTAAATGCTGTRTAGCAGTCTTTCACTTAAATGGGTTAATTCCTTAGAACTCGACATTGGATGTTTCTACTATAAGATAATTCAGTAGAGCACCAGATGTTTTAATAATAACCACAAGTAATGGAGGAGTAGACTTGTCAGTGCAGGATATGTATGACTTTTTGTAGATAACTGCGAGCTTAAACTGGGTCAAGTCTGATCATTCCCCAGATGGCAGGGTTTCAAGGAAAATCTGAGTTGCAACAGGAAAGTGCTTGGGTTTCAGTAAATGCTGGTTCTTGCTTTTGCATCATGGCTGAACTAACACARTGACCTAGTGCTGAGATCATCTCTGCTGCCAGTTACCTTTAAAGCAAGGTTTTAAAGAGGAGTCCATGTGACTTAAACTCTTAACTTTCACTTTCCTGTACGAAAGGGTGGCAATAACTCCTTACAGTGGTAGATGCTGGGGCCGTGTCCAGGGACACCTCTGTGCTCACAGATTGTACCCTCTGGTCCTCCCATGGCTTATGTGGGTTTGGGCTTTGTAGATGAAGAGCAGTTGGGCATCTGATGCGGTGTCTGAATACAGTGAGCTGGTGTGAATGGGTGTCAGTGCTTATAACCACAGTTTGCACGTGCCAAAGCAGCCTTTGAGATGAGAGTGTGGGCAAACTGGGATTGGTGGACAGCGAGCTAGACCTGCAGGAAAACTGGATAACAGATGCACTCCTCAGGGTGATGGAGCTTTGGCAGGAATGGGCAATGTTTCTATGCTGGGAGCATACATGCTCTAGGGTGACCACAGGGTGGTAGAAATGGATTCCTCTCAAACTTGAGGAAACCTGTAATTGTTACCTGCTGGCAGGAGTATGATGTGTCCCTTAGACTTGTGTCAGTGTCCAGGTGAAATACAGGTGCAGTGTTAGGTTAGACAGTCTTGTGGAGTTGCTTTAGGGGCAGGAAAGCATGGAAACTTCAGAAATTAATGTATTTCTGACAGATGTCAGACACAATAATGAAGGGAGAGGGACATATGTTCACAGGACTGTTGTGCAGATACTCAGATGGAAACTGTTTCAGAAGAATGTTAACTTGAGGTGGGAATAAGCTTTTGCATGTTTGACTCACTCACATCTTCTGTAATGAGATTTCATTTGAGAAACTTTTACTGTCTGAATGGCATGAATGAGGGATATCCTGAAACAAACAGTAAAATACCCTGTAACAAAAAGGATGAGCTTTAYGAGTGGTTCTCATTTGTATTCAGCCTTAAGCTTGGTAAAACTGTGGAACCAACACACGCAGATGTACACACAGCTACTACTATCAAATCTGTGGTTCTCTTCTGTCAAAATAACATACAGTCTTCTTTAAAGAAAAGKGGTTTAGTTTGTATTTTGATGGGGATATTAAATAAGCTGTCCCATCACACTTCCTGAAACACCTGTCATGTTACAGGGTTGTTGTACTGAAGAAGGGACAACAAAAAGATGAAAATTCATGTTTTTACTGTCAAGTATTTCTATGTTTCTACTAACATTTCCCTCAGCTTTGAAGATGGAACTGCTGTGTTCTGGCCTCTAATTTACATCTTGGGTAATGCAAATGTTTCCATGGTGTCTCCAAACCAAATAKTTTTGAAATTGACTTTGAGGCTGCTAAAATTGACCACAAGTTACTTGACAATATGCTCTTAAGACTGACAAAAAGATTATTTTGTAATTAAGTAATTACAGATATTCTAGTAAATGCAACAATAACTTTAATGTATTTATAATGTTTTAGCTGCAGGATAKTGTGTAAGTGTAGCTTAACTTCATTAGTTTAGTATTAGTTTGACTTGTACCTCTAATGTGCTTTAGATACAATAATGAAGAAATTCTTTAAACATGTGTTTAAAGATTGAGTTCAGTTTCTCTTCAGGACTATACATTCCTTGCCAATGATTAATTTTTATTGAACTTTAGCCTCTCACTTTCTGGGGCTGCAATGAACTACACAGGTATAAAGCAAAATAAAAGGAGTTAGTTTTGAAAAAACTGTTATATCCATACTTGTTTGTCTGAGGCAGAGATTTGTAGAGGTTCTGGAAGCTCTGATGCAAGCTTTGGGAGATTCTACAGTATTGCTGATGTGCCAGAAAACAGCTACAAATATTTGTGCAGGCTTCATAAGCTTTTGAATTAGAGTATTTCAACATCTGGGAGCAGTGGAGGGTTGAGGTGGAATTGTTCTAGCTAGGGAAGCAGGAGTCTTTATTATTACTCAGTTCTCCAGTAGCAGTAGAGGATTGAAGGATTCCAGTTGTTCTCCTTATGTGCCCTGCAGTTAAAAAGGCAGCTCCAGTAGTTGATCTTGAGGTTGAGTTGTTTCTGAGGGTTTCTTTTTTGGCTTCAGCTGGTGATGAGAACACTGAAATAAATGCAGAGTTTCTGTTGAGTGTTTGTGATCAGCAGATGCATCCTGAGTTACTCCAAATAATGGTACAGGGTGCTGGGAGCATTTTATAGGATTTTATGAGGGTTTAGTGCAAGCAGCCCTCATTTCAGCAGGAAGTGTATGAATATGGTACCAGTGGGATGCTAAGGACAGAGGAATCAAACATGTGGAGATGCCATGCATGAAGGCTCTCAAACCACTGTGTAGCTGTTAAGAAACTGTTTTGCAAACTGAAAAGTGCCTCTAGATTGTGCACTGTGGTGAATGCTGCCAGTGTTTTTCCATTCTCATCTATTTCCATTTCTGTGTAGCTTGTTAATCTACGTGAATATTCACAGTTCCTTTTCAAAACGAATTTAAAAATAAACCCTACTTATTTTTGTTCTCAAATCAGTCCTTTACATGCTGTTTAATGTTTTTCTGTGAAAGCAGTGTAATCTTTGACATTTGTTCCACTAGGCATTGTCTTGGCAAGATCTGTTGTACTTCCTTTTATCACTGRAAGCTGCCCTTTCCTCCCCGGCCCTGTGGGTGACCTTCCCATTGGAGCTTCCCATTCCTTGCACCACTCAGGGTGGCCTTCTGTTCTCTGACCTCACTGCTTTCCACCTCATCCAAAAATAGAGTCATCTCCTTTGCTTTTGCCCTGTGCCTGACTTACTCCTCCTTCCTTAATGGTCCACTGGCTTCCTTTCTGCTTCATCTCTTTAAATTTTGTACCAACTTTTCATGACGCTTGTTGTTTCCTCTTCATCTCCTTTTCCTCTGTTGTGCCAAGGATTCATTACAYAGCCAGGGTTTCTTTAATATTTCTGGATAACCTGAAGGCTTCATGCATTTTTAGAACTCTGGTAATCTGAGCTATTTTTAAAACTGGCTGTGTTAATATTTTGCTATGGCATTAATAGATTTTTTTAAAATGTCTTTTTATAAAGACCTAGAAATTAAATAGCAGTTGTTATTTAATAGTATGATTTAGCTGTGACAGTGAGAAGGTGAATTTCAGAATAATATTCACAAATCTATTAATAATCCAGCAAATGCTGACTGAAGCATTTGCTTTCAGAAGGAGCAAGGCATTTGTGTTTGCCTGTGAAAGAAAACTTGGTATTTATGCAAAACTGAAGACAGGGCAGGTGGAGTGAGGGAGATTTTTTGGAGACTCAGTCTATTGCAGAAACTTACTTTAAAAAATGTCTACCAGTGCATTGTGTGGACAGGGTGAAAACTGTGATTGTTTGAAGGAATGGGATCCATAACATGCACATGCAGCATCTGCTGATCCAAACGTGCTTGTAGAGCCCTTGAGCTTAATGACTGATGTCTGTTACAGGTGACACAAGAGGAAGGCCAGCAGCTGGCACGGCAACTTAAAGTAACATACATGGAAGCCTCAGCAAAAATCAGATTGAATGTAGACCAAGCTTTTCATGAACTTGTCAGAGTTATAAGGTATGGTAATTGAGAACAGATAATTACTGTCCATATATTAATGGATAGCTGCAGCAAATGTTGTTGAAATGCAGTGAGAAATTGCTGGGAAGGTTCTGCCCACTATTACCTCTAAGCTTTGACCAATGATCTCCATTATAAAACACTCCTGTGCATTARGAAAAATGCTTACATGAATTTAATACCTGTTTGAAAGATAATTTTGTCACCTTAATCTTTCAGATTTTATTGATCACTCAGACAGTAAATGTGATAAACTAAATCTGAGACAGGCCTTCTGTAAAAAAATTGTGTTTCTTAAAAAAARCTAACCAAATCAAAGGGTGAACTCAAAAACTATCACTTATTTAATGACATAAATTGAATGTAAAAAGAAAGTGCTTTCCCCATGCAAGTGTAAAAAGAAAGTGTTAAATACAGTAGTTATGTTTATTAACCTGAAAATGGTGCTATGAATTTAATTTGAAATACCTGTTTCCAGGAAATTTCAGGAACAAGAGTGCCCTCCTTCACCAGAGCCAACACGGAAAGAAAAAGACAAGAAAGGCTGCCATTGTGTTATTTTCTGAGAATCCCAAGAACCAAGCTATCAACTGCCAGATTATTTTTTTTCTTTCCATCATTTTACATCACTTCTGGTATTGGTCTAGCCTTATATGTGCATGTCCTAAAAGTGGTCACCAGAATAGCCTTAGTCCAAGAAGCTGGCAGAATAGTTCTTGAAGAAGACTCGGTCATCCTGGGGCAGACTTCATACCAAAACACTAAGGCTGCTTCTCTAATACCACAGTTCCTTCTCTCCCTTCAGAGCTTGCACCTTGTGGAGTTTTATTCGCAAAGGAGATGAAACAAAACCGCGTAGGACAAGGTGTTGAAGTCATGCATAAGTTGTCTCTTGTGAATTAATTTATTTTTACTTCTGACATTTCATTAGCTATTACAGAGACCTATATTGGAGTATAGAGAATACTTTTTAAAAAAGGGGTGGATTGGCTTTTTTTTTGYTTTGCCCTCAGTTAAATTAGACTTGAGTATTCAGCTAGCCTTAAAAAACCTACACTGAATTTCATTGTCAGCAAAAATTCTCATCTCTCATTTATGCTGCAGTTTTATTTCGGTGGCCAAAACATTCTACTGTATTTATTTTATGAATCCAGAACAGCTACAGGATGATTACTACTACTATTAGGATATGGCCAAATACCTGAGCTCATTCTGGATTGAGGCATTTTAGCTTATTAAGAAATTTCACATCATGTTTGAAAACAAATTGTGTCTTCCTTTGTATTTCTGGGTAAGGGATTAAGGAAAACTAAAATTGTAGCTGTTTTTGTTTCATGTGATATAAAAATGAATTTGATCTTTCCATTGTCAGAGATGATTAAATGTTTTTGCTATATACTTTTATACATTATTTTCTTATCAAACTAGTTAACAAGTATTTTTATATGTTTGTAAGCAAATATGCTTTCACAGCATAACTTGTGTATATGTAAAGATGAGTATTTAATTCTCACAGTTCACTTTTAACTGACAAAAATGTGGGATTTGCCAAACTGTGGTAAATTTCTCCTTACTCTCCCGGTTATACCCAAGAATGGCCAATTATGTGCCTGCCCAGCACACCTATAGAATAAAATCTAGTGTTGTGTTTTAATGAATTTAAGTATCCCTTACTAAAGACTGACCATTATGTGAATTATTAAACTGTAAGACTTTTAACTGATTGTTTAGTTAAGCTGTGGATGGTTGTTTAATTTTGAGTTCTGTGGATTGTGTTTAAACAATTCAAGAGTATGGTCCCTGCTATTGAAATACTGAGTGGTATTGCACAGTTGTCACCTTAACTGAATGTGTCCAACAGTTCTTTGAAACTTGATTATGAAGCAAACCCTTGTATAACTTCAGGTGCTAGAATTAAAGATGATCTAACCATTATTGGGGGGTAAGCACACTGCCTCTTTCTGAATCTCTTCCAAAACCTGCATTTTTTGGGGGTGTGGGGTAAGAAGGGAGTGATGGAACCTGGCTAGGGAATAGCAATGCATGTCTGCACAACCTCTTCTTCGGGCCTGGAAGTAAAGAAAAGCCATTTCAACTGAAGTCATGACAGGTGACAAAGGCTGATGTTTGCTTTGGCATGAAGTGTGTAGTCAGTGATCCAATCAACGATCCTTGTGTTTTCAGGCTATGCTCACTGTCAGGTGCTCTGCCATAAATCTGCAAATGTCTCCTGGGAAAACAGGGCTAAAACAAGTTCCAGGTATCTTCACAGCAGCAAGGCATTAAACCTGGAAGTAAAGCTACTGCCAGGCATTGCAGACGAATTTAAAATTGTTTTAATGTGATTTAGATTACCTTGCGTAATGCAACTTTGATAGAGTGGGTAACTTCCCCCTCCGCACCCCRATGGATTTATTGGTTGATGAAAGGCTACTTAGGAGGAATGTGTGKAAGATTCAAACAAGAAGTCACAGTGGAAACACATTTGGGAGATGCATTGCATTTTTCAAGTCAAATGTAAGAAATTACAGCCTGTAGCAAACAGCACGTGTTTTCTTAACTATGTAAAGCTCTCTGGAGTTAAATCACTKAATATGTGGCATTAGAATGAGTTAAAACAACTGATTACAGCATGTGTACTGAGACTGAACTTATGAGGTGAACATGTCTTTAGGTTCTATAATTTTTTTCCTTCTTTTTTAACCTTTCACTCATGGTTGAACAGCTTTAAATAGTAGAGTGTTATATGGATAAGTTTTTTTTAACAGGCAGCTCCTTGTAACTCATAGAGAAGGTGATAAAGCTCCACATGGAGAGATGGATAACTGAGGAGGTTGATGCTAAACAACCTACACCTGCTGAGCCACATTGTAAACATGGTGAACCTTACAAACAAGATAGACAGCCCGGGGACCACCAGCTGCTGCTATGCAAATCTGTGTTAAGTTTATTAACTAAAACATTCTTGGAGAGAATGTGCCAAGAAATCTCTGTGTAATGTTATCATCTCTTTTCAAATCTGGTTCCTGTGGGGCATTTTAGGGAGATGTCACATGTAGACATTTAGGTCCTACCTTTCAAACATGAAATAAATATCTAGAAAAGTAATAGGGATTTTTGGCTGGTAATGGTGATCTAGGTAGTTGTGAATTCAAAACAGCAGAAGGTATTTCAATGATTTGCTTTTCTAATGGTTGCAGCTAAAGGTAGTGATGCAAAATTACGCTTCTGCCCTGGTSTGGTACTTGAAAGAATATAATAGGGATCTTGTTAATCTTTTTTAAAGTAGTAGCCCTGATCCATATGCCTTGGAGTAGTTGTGAATTTACAACATTGCCACCTTGCTGTAGGATAGAGTTTAGCTGACAACACAAGAGAGTTTCTTAAAAATTTTCCTGGCAGAAGAAATGCTTTAAAATTTGTTAAACTACTTATGTCTGTAGTTACTTCAGTTCAAGGCCACATACATAAATCTATTAAACTTGCAATTTAGGAATCTGGRGTGCTTAAAATGTACCCAGAAATGATCTCCTGATCTTCCTAGAGAACAGCGTAGAGTCTGGATCTGTGTTTCAAAGCACAAAATAACTCCTATTTCTGGCATCTCACACTGCTGAACCTGGTGCTCCACTGGATGAGGAGGGGGATTGATGTGCTCATAGGCAAAAACCTTCTTATGCAATTGGCCAAGTTTTTGGGTGGTCCAGATTTGGGGAAGAATTACTTCCATGTGAGTATTCTAGTTCCTTATGGCTGCTGTGATTAATATATTTCCTTTCTCTGACCTTGCAACTCCTCTCCATCAGTACTTGCATGCAAACTAACATTCAGGTGAAGAGGAGAAATTCTACAAGTGTTACATCGCCTCTAAAATCTGCTCTTTTTTGTGACATGACCTATCAGGAGCAACAGAGCCACAGATAATGCAATGCACCCTGGCCATGCTTGTTCTCTTTCTGCAGAAGGGAGGCTCCTGGCTCCCCTCCTGACCTTGGCAAGGGTTGTTGGCCCTGTAGAGGTGCTGGGAAGAGATGATTGGATCAATGCCTCAAGTGAGCCTGGTGGCTACCCCAGCACAGGAGCTTGAGATGACCTCATCTCAAAGTTGTGGAAGGGTTAATAAGGCAAAGTGTATTTGGAAGGTGTTAACTCCCCCTAATGCCAAGGAAAACTCTGACTTTAAAGCATGGCCTTGTGGTTAATGATCATTGATAAAATTCAAGTCTGAATGCAAACAAAAATATTGGCTGTCGTTATTCTGACATCATTTATATGACAAGATTTCACCTGTATCATAGGGTAGTTGTTGACTGGCCTTGCCACGTAATCTTGTCACAAGACTTTGATGAGCTTAATCCAGACTGGAGACTCTTGAAGTCAGTCACCATGAGCCCAGCACTGCCAAAAATTATCTGCACTTATTCTTTACAAGTTTGTTGCTGGGAAAGGGTCAGGCATCTGCTGAACAGAAGGCATTTTCACTTAGTTTAGGCATAGATTACCCTTCTGTACCAAAACCRTGATAAAAGAAACACTCAAACAGAATTCAGGAAAACAACCAAGCTGAAAATGTGGGRCCATGGGAATGTTTCCTATGCTGCATTGACCCACAGCAGGACAGCAGTCTGCCAAAACATGAAGGCTTAAAATTATAAAGATGGGCTCTTGCTCAAAGCATCCTGGATAGTAAATGCACTTCTCAACACTTTGTTAATGTGGCTTTTTCTGCCTTCTTACCTGGGTCTGTTGTAAAGCCAAGTTAAAATTGCAGGCTTGAGGCAAATTCTGGGTTTTCCATGGGGGTAAGTAGAGGTATGTTCCAGGTCTTCATCCCAGCCTTGTGTATACATGTTGGAAGGCCAGACAACTCGGTTAAATTCTCGATACTTAAATATTCTTGTGGAGCTCTGACCATGGAAACACTTGCACACAACAGCTCAGGTGCAGAAATGAGGATGGGTAGTAGCAGGACTAGCCTTTAGCTAGGAAGATAAGGAACTTTAAATGAGAACAGAGTTGTGGAAAAGGGATTACCTGCAAGGAAAACTTAATATTCTGAAACGATATTGTGAATATGTGCTAGGCTTGCTTTCTGCTTGCTCTTCCAGACTTCTAAGGCTGCAGTTATTTTGAAGGATTTGAGAGACTTGTGGATTAAATATAAAGGACAAATGATGTCCTATACAAAAGCTAAATTTCATTAGTGGATGTAAGATGAATAGTCATGTTCCTCAGTGAGCCAGTAGCATGTAGAATTAAATGCATTGTCTTGCTGCTGGAAAGTAAATACTGCTCCGTTCAGCTACTTTTTCAGCCAGATCATGCTGTATTGAGATACGCAGTATTTGATATTCACTTATKTGGAGTGACATTAGTACTTCTTAAATTATTACTTTTAAAAATAATGCTTCTGACATGAAAGTATTGTGGAGGGGTAAGTTAGTAAGCAATGTGCAAGCACCAAAAATGCAAGGACGGTGATTAAAAACTCATAATTCCTGGTCTCTTAGTCCAAGGCGTAGATTAGCACTAAAACCAGTTTTCACATCAGTTCAACTGAACTGAGGAGGAGTAGGACACGAGTCCTTCTCGGAATGCCCCGGGATCTCTTAGGCATCACCACGAGGTGGCACCAGGGACAGCCCTTAGTGCCGCTGGGAAGCGCCGCTCCCACCAGGATCCCTGTGCAGAGTTCAAGTGCCTGCTTTTACAAGCCGAGTAAGAATGAACGGCAGAAACGTAACAAAGCTGCTGATCTATAGTTAAACGGGGCCATATGTCTGGGCTGTTTCAGAGTAATTGTTTTCCATGCACTCTGCAAAATCCGGGTGGTCAAGAGCTGGGGAAAAACCAGCTCTGATTTATAAATAGTAGTTCTGAAGAAAGTGATGTGAAAAGCAGGAAAGATGCTTGCAGTCTAAAATATTAGATGCATGTTAATTAAAACATTGTACAGATTCTTAATTTCTTCAGCTTTTATAGTTGCCAGCTGTGTCAGGAATAACAGTTGCAAAGCAAAAATGAGCAATATTTATGTGTCATTAATGRCATGGACAATTTGCAGTTAGAAAGTTATGCATAAACACTTCATGCTCAGCTAAATAATATATCCCTGATGGTTACTGATATTCCTTAGAAAAATAGACAGTAGACAGAAAAATAGACAGTACCCAGAACCTTCACTGGCTCTTGACCAACCAGGTTTTCCAGCTCCATGTGAGAAGGTAGAATGAGAAGAGCCAGGAGCAGTGGATAAGGATTGAGGCAGGGGTTACTTTGGAGGGCTCAACCCATACAAATTCTCAGGACCTGATGGAGCCCATCCAAGAGTGAGAACCTGTGCTGGGACACCTTTCATAATCATCTTTAATGGTGAGCAGGGACATTCCCGGTGGCTGGAGGAAAGCAAGTGTTGTGCCTCTCTTCAAACAAGGCCTGGGAAGCAATGTAGGGAACTGCAGGGAGTTATCCTTGCTTCTGTGCCTGGAAAGTCACACAGTGAGTCTTCCAAGAATATGTTTCTGGGCATATAAAAGAAGTGTTTGGGAATGGTCTGCATGAATGTACAAATTCACTGGTGTCAGGCACACCTGACCAGTGACACCAGGATTGCCCTCTGTGATAAAGTGGCAGAGTTTGTGGATGGTGAGGGAGCAGTGTGTTTTTTACCTCAACTCGGCAAAGCTTTCAACACTTTTTCCCACCCTATTTTTGAATGAAAGTTCATGATGTTGTGGGCTGGATAAAGCACTGACTGATGGATTGGGCTCAGAGARTGTGCTGTCCTCAGTGGGTAACAGGCTGACCTCCAGGTGGAGTCTGGTGCTGCAGGGATCTCACCTGGCACCTTTGACATTTTGCCAGTCACCTGAAGGAGACAACTCTTAACATGTTTTCAGGTGACACCATACTGGAGAGAACCAGTTGGTAAACTT